GATTGACCTATCTTTATTATCTCCATTAAATTTCAGTTTATTAAAAAGTGGACTGAAATAAAAAACAACCTATCTGATGAACTATTTAATTTTGGAAAATCGTGGCATTTTTTAAAAAAATCTGTTGATGAGGACTATAATAAACAATCATATGGAAGTGACTCTGAAAATGAAGACCTAGAGAGTACAGATGTTGTGAAACAGTGTAACAAGTCTTGTAAAAACTGTGTAATATATTGTTATATAATGTTTTAATTAAATATAATTTATTTGCAAATGCTTACCCGACATTAACCATAGCATATCAATACATTTTATCCCTCCCTGTTACGCAGGCGCGTAGCTAGAAATTTCAAAGGGTGGGGGGGTGTTATTCAAACTTAAGAGGACGCTAAGACGCGTGTGTTGTCTCTGTCTTACACATGCACGACATAACAAATTGTCGTTCACTATTTTCAATAGTGAGCTGTTAGTTTTGATACTAGAGTGAATCGACATATTATCAAACTTTTAGGTACCTAAGAACATTATCTGGGTCTTAGCTTGGGCGATATTTTTCGATACTTTCACTTTTGAGAAAAATAAGTGTATGGAAATATTAAAAATGCTCATATCTCGCTTGAAAATTATTTATTATACAAACGTATTACAACTTACCAGTGAATAGATAATAGTTTAGAATAATAGTTCTCTTATATAATATTATTATCAATAAAAAAAAAATGAATACATTTTTAAATTAACTTAATGTGTCGACTTTTTGAGGCTAGTGTATCGATTATTTCGTCTGTGGTTACGACTAAATCTCGATGAATATTTATAACAGCATTCAAGCGATTTTCACCAGTTGTATTTCTTAGATATGTTTTCAAGCGTCTTAATGAGGAAAAAGATGTTTCATTGCTTGCAGTTGTTACAGGTAAAGTAATCAATACTTGTAAAAGTCGATAAACAGTAGGAAATATGTCTTCGTTGCTGTCAAAGAAGGCTTCGGTAGCATTTTTAGGATTTTTATTTTTTATATGTTCATACCATATTGCAAACTCACCAATTGCAGATATTTCATCAGCTTCAATATCTGAAGAATATGTCTTAAGAAGTTCTTTAAATTCGGTCTCATTTTTTTCATTTGCATTTATTAAACAAGTAAATTGTTTTAATAGTGATTTATGGTTCAAAAATCTGTCATTTAGTTGCTCACAGAAATGATCCAAAAAAGGTATAAAAATCAAAATCCTAAAATAGACTTCCGGTGATTCTGTTGAAATGCTAAAACGATTTGTTCGGTTTATAGCTAGTCGAGGTATTGAAATTGTAATCCCCAATGATAGTTGATACCATAGACTATAGAGTAACACTCTAATGATGAAGTTGTAAACAAGTTGTAAATACTCTGCATTAAAAGATATCTTGTATCGTACATGAAACGAGTCAACGAATCAATGATAAACTGACACAGAATGGTCTAAAATAATAATTATCTAATTCCGTGTGCCCGTGTCCCGGTTTAAATTATAAAACATAGTACACCACGGTTGAGGGGGGGTGTTATTACACCTGTAACACCCCCCCTGGCTACGCGCCTGCTGTTACGCAAGTTGCTTGTGAAAAGTCATTTTCAACATTGAAGTATATTTTAAAAAACAGGCAGAGAAATTCAATGACCAATGAACATCTTGAGTCTTTTATGCTAATGGCCATTGAAAATAAAATGGAAAAACATAATAATATTATCATAAATGTTGTGTTGCAGTTGGTGAGAAATCTAAGCTTTTATCTAAACTATTATTATGAATGTATAAATATTTTTTATTATATTGTTTATAATGTATGTATTTATCTATTACTTATTACCTTATACCTACTATACCTACTATACCTAAACAATTAAAACACAATGAATAATTATTAATATTTCGTTGGTTTCAACTATTAAAAAATACCTACTAATTTTATATTTCAGAGTTTCAGGTATTAGTACTTAGTGGTATATTAATATAATGTGTTAGAAGACAGAAGTTAAAAAAAATAGCAAGAAAGTGATTGAAATACTTTTATAATACTGAAAGTAGTTTTGAAATAGGTAAATAGAAAAACCAAATTCGAGCCCAGCGAGAAAAAAAATTTTGGTGGGTGGCCTGGATAAATTTTAAACTCCCGGCCTGGATTTTGTTCCCACTCCGCCCCTGCCTTGAGGGACCGATGACATCCAAACGACGGAACGGGTGAGGAATAATTTCGGAACACTAATATCGTACATGAGTATGATGTGGATTTATATTGTAAATTTATTATAAGGCATAGGTATATCATATAAAAAAAAAAAGAGCGTGTGAAAACATGCGTTAGGCGTATATATACAAATGTAGAAAAAGGGTTCACATAAAAAATATTATTATAAAAAATAAAAATGGTAGTAAAAAACTGGTTGAAATTTTACAATGACACTACCACATCATTGACACTTCAAAATTTTACGTAGATTTGATTTTCATTATATACATATACGATGATCGTCAAAAACTGATGAATCAAGAAAAAATTGATATAGTGCTCTCGCCACTCAAAAATACAATTAATATATTATTATCATGAGTGTTATCACATTGATAAGCCCGAGCAAAACAGAACTAAATTTAATAACTAAACATAAAGATATAATATATCATATGCGGCGAAATGTCCGGGTCCGCATATTATATGTATAATTAATGCAGACATGCAGTGTATGTATACATATATAATGTAAATATCATTTATCACGTATTCACACCAAAACAGTGGTAAATCTACAAAATCAGGTACAATTTCAATCAATTTAAATAAAACTAACCAATGATATATTTTATTAAATTAAAAAAAAAAAAGGGATGTATTGTTTAAATGAAACATGATTTATATTGTTATTTTTTTTTATATAGTAGGTATATTTAAAATGTTCAAAAAAGGGAGGGGGGTAATGTAACGTATGTTACATCATTACGTTTATTTTATAAGCATCATAATATGCACATTAGGCATATTATGTGCTGACTATAATAATATATTAAGCCCCTCCGGTTTAGGTGACACATATATATTTTATGATTGTAAGGCTCCGGCCAATATCCCTATGTAAGAGAATACCAGTTCTCCGCGAGTCCATCACGTGCACCTGAACTCCGTACAATCCTACATTTTTGGTAACTTTGTTCGTAAATTGTAAGTTATAATACATAATTTGTTTATATTAATAATAATTTAGATCAATCGTTATTTATTTGTAATATTAAGATCCTAATACCATTCGTGCTCCCGAGCTACGGTAAAAATATATTCAAAAGAATTAATTTCTTCTCTGAATATCTTATATTTAACGGGCCATCCCCGACCACGTTACAAACCGAAAAGGCTAAATTCATAACTAAGAAATGAGATTTTCACCACATAAAAAGGAGAGCTTTGGCTGTGCAACGTTGTTTTTATTTTTTTGATATCATTTATGTGAAAAAAGTTTTTCAAGTTTGAAAAACATTAACAATAATGGTTTTTGAAACAGTAAGAACTTTTTTCATATAAGTGATTTAGTGATATCAAAAAAATAAAAACAACGTTGCACAGCCAAAGTTCTCCTTTTTACGTTAAATCTTGTTTCTTAGCTATGACTGTCAGACTGTAGCCTTCTCAGTTCTTTCCCGAGCAAAACAGTTTTTTCTATGTTGTACATTTGTAAGACGAAGACAACATATGCGGGTGTAGAGTCCTCTTAAGAAATAATTTGTACCTATCTTTCAAATAGTCAAATGTACCAACTCTGCTCACTGCTCATAATCTAAAATTACAATATTTATTATATTCATTCACCACGTCAAATTCAATATGATAAGCAGAATTATATACATTTAACTGAACGAAATTGGCAACAATAATTCTGGGGGGCTAAATGGCTAATATTAACACTTTTGAGGGGGAGGGAGTTAAGCCCCCCTTAGATACACCATACGCCCATGTCGTTGGAACAAATATTTCTTGGAATAAATAAGCGATGGAAGTACGGAACAATAAAATTGGTGTTTCTCGGAACCAATCCATAAATAAAAATGTAAATGTCTATGTAACAAATAGACTTTGGAACAACGGTATTGTGGAACAAATGTTGGTGACCCGCGGTGACATACCTATTCGCTATTCAGACAGCGGCGCAATCACAGATAATAAAATTCCGGATATGAAATTATACTGTATATATATAATTCTTGGGACGCAATCGTCTGGCGGCGTGGAGCCGCGGTGGAGACCTTGAGATGCAGTTCCTTCCGCAGTTCCGCTGCGGTTTGTTATCAATGTTATCTCGTTTCGAAACTTTGTGAAGTTATTTTGCCAGTCAATAGTCAATACCACTACCACTATAACTACTTACAATGCCATAATAACAATATACGTATTATTTATTATTGTTGTAGTGATTTTTGTAATAATTCTCGTTGTAAGCTCTTAACAGTTTTTTTTTCGCTTTTCGCACGCCTCGTTTGAATAGCGTTCATTTTATTTATTATTGTAAAAATAATACTCTACTCACCGTCCTAACAATTGTCACCAAACACACGGTCCCACAGGTACTTTGTTTTTCGCGTCTTGCAATAATTTCCTACTTAATTATGCGTACCTGTTGTGCGAGACGATTGTTCCGTCGTTGTTGTTATGATGGTCATCTCCAATGAAGGACACACGCACATTAATATTCCAAATGTGTAGGAAATCGTTTCTGGTTCACGCATTATTCCGATCAATTTGACAAAGCCACCAAAACACCTTCTGTTGGCTATGAGATTATGTAAGTACCTATTACCCATGATAAACATTTTATAAGAAATAAAACGAAAACTGCCCTAGAAAATAATTTCTAGTTCCATTAAGTGTTGTTGCGATTGTTAAAGTTTTTATTTTTAAAATTCTTTTTGCAGTACTTGAAGTAAAAAGTTGAATTTTTGCACATTGTGCTTCTGCAGTAATTCTTCACAATGTCCAGAAGGTTAGACATACTTTTTCACTTATCCGTTGTTATTTATTTATTTTTTTGTTCTATTATTACTTAAAATTTTAATCAGATGGTTCCACTCTCATTTAAATGGCATGGAAACTCAACGAATACTTTTAGATGAAGGCGTCGAAGGATCATTTTTGGTTCGGAAATCATATAGCAGGAAAGGTCAATTTGTCTTATCTGTTAGGTAAATTCAGATATAAAGTATTTTTATTTTTGTTTCATTTTTGAGATCATGAATTATTTAATTTTTTGTCTTAGGCATGGCAATAAGGTTAACCATATAAAAATTCATAATGATGGTGAGCTTTTTGATCTCAATGGTGGTGAAAAATTTAAAACCCTAACAAATCTCGTTGAACATTATATGACACATCCAAGGGTACTAAAAGAACAAGGTGGTATACCATTACCTTTATTAATACCGATTGGTTCACCCGAGCCAACCAATGAAAGATGGTTTCATGGTCAAATGTCAAGAAAAGAAGCAGAGTATTTGATTTTAGAAAAAGGACGCCCTGGTAGCTATTTAGTACGAGAATCGCAATCTGATCCTGGAAATTATGTATTGACCGTTAATATTGATAATAAAGCGGCTGAAATTAAAATTAGATTTAATGTAAGTATTAAAATGTAATAATTTGTATGTAAAATACTTTAAAATTGTGCATCATTAACAGAGTAAATTATATTGGTTATATTAATAATTATTTATATTTAGCACAAAAATTGAAAAATAAAAATAATATTTAATTAACTTAATTATTTTTATCATAAAAATTGATTTGATATTATTTACAAATGTATACTAAAGCAATATTTAATCTACTAACTGTTGTTTTAGACGTTTTAGTCACTTTAGAAAAATGAATAATTATAATATAGTATTTTTTTATAACTGTATTAAAAATATAATCCTATAAAATGTTTAGGGAGAAAAGTATGATATAGGTGGTGGAGAAGAATTCTTGTCACTAAATGATTTGATGAAATACTACAGCTTCAATCCAATGGTTGATCATACTGGATCTGTAATGCATTTGATGAATCCAGTAAATGTAACAAGAATAAGTATTGCAGGAATCGTTGATCGTGTATTTAAACTGGAGGTGAGTTATATTATGATTGTGCTTTAATCTCTTGAGCGTTGTACTCATTTTACTTAGGAGGCAAACTATTAATTTCTTTCATTTCAAATATTATTTTGTTTGAATACAGATAAGTTTTCATATTTCAAATTTTTAGTATTAAACATGTTTCTTTTAGATTATTTTAACATATGTTAAAATTTTAATATTATTCTTATTAAAATAATTTTGTAACTATGGTTACCAAAAAGTTAGACTATGTTCACGCAGAATTGTTTTTTTATCGTATACAATGATTTATCATTGAATTCAAATTTAACACACCCATCACTGTGACCTACTCAATGTAGGGTTACTATATGTCCTGGTTTTGCCAATACTGTATCAGTTTTGAATAAAGTGTTTCAGAATGCTCAGTTTTCCCAGGATTAAACTTCATTAATTAAGTTAATAATTTATCTTTTACTAAACATTTCTAGTAGAAAACATTGTTTTATTTATTACGATAAAATAATCAAGTTTTTTTTCTATTGGTCCAATATAAATCTAAGTCAGCAATAAATTTGCTTTTGATTGACATTTACTGATCAACTAAAGTATTTGAAAGTGCTATAAGAATATGTAGATAATACAGATAATTTTCCCTTTCCTTAAGTCATTATAAACTATAATTACAATAATTTTGAAAAAGCCACAATTCCAGATCAATAATAATAGTTATTTTGTCAGTCCTTCATTAATTACTGGTTTTATAATTTCTGGCAATAATAATATTATATAGTCGAAATATAATAAACATAGATATAACCATATAGCCATATAGGTATATGGGTATGTTAAATTTCCATGGAAATTATGTTAAAAATAAGAAAAAAGGACTAAATTGATTTTTTTAATAATGATAAATAATAAATATTTGTTAATCTTATGTTATAGCATCAAAAATATCATCATTATGCTTTTGGTGGGTTTTGGGAAGAATTTGATGTTTTACAACAATGGGAATTAAAACGAGAATCAACAAAAGATGTTGGTTTTTTAACTGAAAATAAATCCAAGAATCGATATGGCAACATTTTACCATGTATGTTAATAACTACCTAATAATAAGTTATAATAATGATTTGATTACTTTTATTTGTAACTGTTTTAGATGACCATTCTAGAATTATATTAAAATGTTGTGATAAAAGTTTACCAGGTGCAGACTATATCAATGCAAACATGATCAAAGTAATTATTTTACCTTTTTTCAAATAGATTAAAAATAACAATACATTGATAATTTTTAAGCTTGAGCCATTTATTTTGGCTGAAAAATATGAAACACGTAATTACATTGTCACTCAAGGTTGTCTACGTAATACAGTTGATGACTTTTGGCAAATGATATGGCAAGAAGATTCCCGCATAATTGTTATGATAACAAAATTATTTGAAAAGTCTAAAGTATGATCCATTAATATTGTTTAAATATTTATAAGCTATAAGAAACAATTTTTAATTTTTAGGAGAAATGTATGAAGTATTGGCCAGATCTAGGTCAATCATGTGAGTACAGCAAAATCACTGTTGAAAATCTTGGAGAGTATGCCCACCAACAAGATATGGTTGTGAGAATGTTTAATATTAGTCTTTCAAATTACAGACATAGAAGAGTACTTCAATACCATTATACGGTAATGAATATTACATGTTGTTTATACTTTGAATAAATGCTGATGACCTACTACTAATAATATGTAATTTAAATTTTGTGTGGTAGAGGCTTTTATAAGTTATTTTACATTAAGAGGTTAACTTTTTTGTTTTAAAAGAATATAGATTAGTGATTCTCAACTTGTGTATGTGAACCATGTCAATCACCAATTGATTACTTAGGGTCCCTTACAAGTCATTATACCATTTGTTTATATGTAAGAAAAATACTCCAATAAAAAAATTGAATTAGATATTCAATATTTGGGTGTTGTCACTTAAAGAATGAGAACGACTGCTATGGATTTTATCTTTGTAACATTGTTACTTAAATTATTACTTTTCAAAAATCAATAATTTTTGTCAGGGGTGGCCGGATCATGGAGTTCCTTCTGATGCGGGGTCGCTTCTAGACTTACAGTTTGTAGTTAATGCTCGCCAGTTTGAAATAGAAGCTCATTCAGATGTTACACACCCTCTAACTGTACATTGTAGTGCTGGAATTGGGAGAACTGGTACATTTGTTGTTCTTGACATTCTTATTGGTCTAATAAACCGAAAAGGTATGTGTTAAGACATATAAATAACTGCAAAATGTATTATGATTATTTATTTATGTTAGGTCTTGATTGTGAGTTGGATATCCAACGCACCACTCATCTGGTAAGATCATTTCGCCCAGGACTTGTACAAACTGAAGCACAATATCAGTTCATATATACAGCTATAAATCACTATGTACAATCAGTATGTTCAAGAATATCAGCTGAAAAGGTTAATAATTAATAAATAACTTGGTTTTCTATTGTTGAACAAAAATATGAGTTTTTAACTTCTTAATTTTATTTTATTTAGAAAATTGAGATGTTTGGTCGTGAATACTTGAACATAAAGTATACAGATGAACTAGCAACAGTTGTAGGTGAAGAAAATGTGCCAACCTTAAACCCTTGTACAGCTCAAAGGGTCTTAAAAAATGCTATTTCATGCAATACCTATCCTACTACCGATTCGCCTTTAGTTTCTCCTACTCTAGACAAATCAAATGTAGTTGAACTCCTGGGTTATGACCCGGGAAAACCGAATAATCCATCACAGGCCATAGTGACTAATACAGATTCATGTCCTAATTCACCTACTTCTAACGTGTAAGTGTATTTAAATATAATTATTGAAATGCGTTACCTATATTTTGGTGCTAAAATTTAACTTTTTACTCAATAGAAAAATAGTATAGAATTCTTTAATATTAAACTATTAACTATTTAAGAAATTTGATTGCCCAAGTATAAGGATTTAGAATATAACTGTGTATAGTAATAATTCAACTTAAATCAAATATTAATTTAGTTTTATTTTTAAAAGCTAGAACATGTGTGAAGATATTAAGTTTTATTATTAATATTTTTTTTTTATTTAAAACAAAATTTTAAAAAAAAGTAGTTTTTATTGTATATAATCTAAAAACATTATTAAAGTTATTCAATATTAATAATATTATTCAATTAAATTGTTTTTTGCCATAAATTTTTATTATATTTCTTATTCAATTTGATAAGTGTACGTATCAGTGGCGGCTCGAGTATATGTGCTCAAGTGCACGTGCACTACCTACCCAAACTCAAGAAAAATTGAAAACATAAATCATAATAATACAACTAAGTACTAAGTGTTATTAAGATTATATTTAAAAATAAACAAACATAAATAATAATATAATATTTGGATTGGGTTATTTCGATGGCCAAACAGCCAGGCAGTTGTCCGTAGCGGAATAGTATCGGTGTGTATTATAGTGGTGCAGTAGTGCACACAATCGCCGTGCTCATTTGTACAATGTAAAAATTATAATAAGTCGAAACACGCAACCCGCGTTATAATGAAAATGATGTGCACATAACCAATTGAATTATTTTCGGTGTCGCCGCTCTATTGCGCGTCGGCATAGGCATTCTAATTTATTTATACTATCTTTCGTTTATTATATTCCGATTATCAGCTGATAAATAATGTCGGTCGATCTTTATCGAAAATTCAAAACAACAATCGTGTTTCTGTTTAAAAATCTGAACAAAGTAAAAGCTTATTGGTGAAATGTGAATAACTAAAATTTGTAAGCAATTATTTAATACAATTTATAATATATAATATATATAATATTGGTTATATTTTTTTTGTATGTGCACTACTTCATTAAAAACCCACGAGCCACCACTGGTACATACATCTGTAAAATGTAGCTGTTGAGCATATTTTTTTTTTCAATTTGTATTGACTTCCATCAATAATATTAACATGACCATTAATAATTAATTTTTTTAAAATTTTAACAGATTAATAGATTATTAATATTATTGTACCTTTTAGAAAAATGTGGATGTATTATCATTAATTATCTGTGATGTGGCAAAGGCTCTTTCTTGAGCCCTGTGCCTCATCCAAAATCGGTAGGTGGGTATACAGTGGTCACCGCTTATTGGACTCACGGTTAATTAACTCATTCGCCTATTAGACTCAAAACGGCTGATCCCGATTCACACATAAACTAACACACAGCTAAAAATTTGTCTATTCGACTCACACACCGGTTAATAGGGTCATTTTTTTAATTGCGTAAAGCTAGATTTTTATTTTTATACATACATACCTTGAATCTCAATACATATTTTTAAGTTTTTATCAAAGACTAATTTATTTTATTTTTAATTGCGTACCTATAGCTAGATTTTTATTTTTATACACACATACCTTGAATCTCAATACATATTTTTAAGTTTTTAAGTTTTTAAAAAATTTTTGATTCATTCGCCTTATTGACTCATTTGGTTAATCGACTCAAATTGTCGGGTCCCAAAGTGAGTCCAATAAGCGGTGACTACTGTATTACGAGATGGTGGGATGCGTAAAACGGTAGATCAGTGAGTTTTAGGTAATTAACTAATAACTAATAAAAAAGCATTACATTTACCTTATGATATATGTATACAAGTGTAGATTATAGTCTACTTCTAGTAATGACTCGTGATAATATACCTAACAAATAGTAAGTTATGTTTATGTCCTAGCCTATTTTGGTAACAATCTGTATTTAATATCTTCAATTACATATTATAATCTATTTAGTCTATATTTGGCACATTCTAGGGAGCATAATAATGTTTTCCATTTTCAACACGTTTGTGTTTTATGCGATTTCTGTAGTCTGGATGAATGCATTGAGTGCAATGAAGTATTAAAACAAATAAAGTGAATATATTCAAAATATTAAAAATTACCTATTAAGTTACTGTATATAATTGAATGATAAATTCAGTTGGAATAATAAAAAAAAAAAACTAAAATAAGGGGGTGTTGGTAATTTATTCAGGCTACTATATATTATAGTTTTACATGAATTTGTCCACAAGCGACAACTCGCAAGCTATTTCCCTATTATTTTTTAATATTAATGTTATAACTTGTTCTAAACTTTTAAGTATTTACATTTTGATTTATATTTTAATAACAAGGTTTTTGTTTCTGTTATAGATTTGAATTACATTCCTACCAAAATATTACATCACCTTTACCATCAAGTGAATGCGATATTGGACCTCCACCAATGGAAGCTCCACCCCCACCCCCGGAGTCTCTTTTCTATGATATTAATGAGACAATATAATTTTAACTTTACTCCTGTCTAAATGTCTCCTGTCTAAACAATTATTTTAAATTTCATTACATTTTCATCAACCATTGTATCTCATATTATTTATTTAATAATACATTCATTTTTAATTAACACACCATTTTTAAATGTTAATTTGATTATGAATATTGATATCTTAATTAACAAAAATGTAGTTTACTAAACATTCCTGGTTTTGGGCCAATTTAGATAAATAACCGCTAAATATTGACTGTTAAATTTTATATAATTAAAGTTTGGCTACCATAGTTACAAGCCAATTCAGATTGTTAAACTAATTAATTTATTGTTACTCATATTCTTGTATTATTTATTTTTATTGTTAATAAATATAGAAACATTATTGTAAAATGTTATTACTTATATCATTATTAAGTTTTTAAATAATAAATTAATATAATTTCAATTTTTATTAATTTTACTTTGTTTATTATTTTTATGTTCAAAAAGTTATTTATTATTTAAAAATAAATGATTATTTTTTTTAATTAGATAAAATATTTTATTTTAAATATCAACAAAATAGAGATGAGAATATTGTAAGAACTGTATACATTCATGTTCATGGAATCGCTGTCAGCACTCATTTCTATTTGACAATTAAATATATATTTATCAATTTATACTTTAAACATACTGTGAAATTGTGGTGGATTGACTACGATTAACACAAAAACTAGTCCTCAATACTTTAGGTCGTAGCTGAAATTAATTGGATACTTCAAACAATTTATTGAATTAAATAAAATATTTACCAATAAAACTTATAGAATTAACCAATATATTTATATTTATCAGTCGGTAATAAAAAAATAAACATATGTATTACATCAACCATGAGATATAAATTCTATCATAGAATACATACAAATTTCCTTAAAAGCAAAGTATTAATAAATACTTCTAAAATACATTATTTTTCAACAAACATTTAAAGTTGTGATTGATTACATCATAAAAATATAATATTAAAATACCCTGTATACATTATTAAGTTGTGAACAAATGTTATATTTGAGAATTAGTTATGAATATGTATTAATAAATATTCCCATATTATTTTGGAGTTAATTTCAACCTATGTTTAACATTAAATTTAAAACAACAACAAATATTAAATTAATTATAACACCATTTTGTTACCCCCCTTTCCTCAATGGTTGGTTTTCTTTTATTGTGATTGAAGTTATAACGATTCTTCAGCTACTGATGTATAGTTATCTAAAACATTTAATATAAATAATATTTAATACATTTAAAACATTTATTTAAAAAGGACTTATTAAATAAGAAACACAGACTAGAGGAGATTGTACCCACATGTGTGGTTTTCATCTCAGTGCCGCCACTGCTTCATATTACTAACTCATAAGTTATAACATACTAAAATTTTAGTTCAGAAGTTTCAATTTTTAGCTTTAATATTATAGTGAACTATTACTAAACTACTGTGTTGTACATGTGGGTATGACATCCTCTTAGATTAAGGGGATTCAATACCGTGATTTTCTGTCTTTGTCTTACACATGTGTGACATAGGATTTTAGATGTGTTCTTTGCTAAACGTACCGATTGATATAGTGAAGCGATAAGAATTATGAAAACTGATTTGAATTTGTCATCAAGTCTACTTGAGATCGACCTCACATTTTTGATTTTTTAATTTTAACTTCTTCAAAAATTGTACTATGACAATATTTTAATTACTCTTTTTTAATATACCGTTTATAGGAATTTAGGGGGATAATATCAAAAATGTTGAAAAGTCGATCTCAAGTAGTCATAACAACCAATTAAAATCTGATTTTAGAATTATTATCGCATCAGATCAATTGGTACATTTGGCAAAGAACACATCTAAAATCCATGTAGCGCGCATGTTAGATAAAGACAGAAAATCACAGTATCGAACCCTCTAAACCAGTGGTTCTCAACCTTTTTACTACCCCGGACCACTTTGATAATATTTTATAGGTCGCGGACCACCTTAATTGTACGAAGACCTTTTTTTTGTTCATCAACAAGAATACACAAAATTAATCAAAACATGTTCATTTTTGTGTTCGCTTGCAATTGAAAGCCGAATCAATAATGTAGATACGAAACAAATTGGTGCGATAGTATACGGGTAATATAATATACAATAAAATTCCCAACACTATACTAAAAATAGTTCAGATAACAACACAATACGGACCGGCATCTCTTTAATCGCGGACCGGCACCGGTCCGCGGACCGGCGGTTGAGAACCACTGCTCTAAACTATAGTCTTCTTAACATTAATTTACCTTTTAATTCTACTTGGTCTTCAGTTTTAGAATTTGAATTATGTGATGATGATGGTGGATCCTCCACTTCTTCAATCGTGGGACCGGAATCATCTGAAACAGCAAAATGTATTAAATGTCTCAAGTAAACATAACTGAGCATATTATTTTAAGTCTTACTAATTATTAAATGGTTATGTTTATGCTCAGAATGTTCACTCTCATTTGTGTCTGAATCACTTTTTGATATTTCATCATTTATTTCTTCTATAGATTCAGTAGATGTAACACAGCCGTTTTGCGTTAATGCATTGTTGTCATAACTAATTGCCAACTGAGGTCTAGGCTTAAGAGATGGATTCCATTGAGAACAATATGCACATCTGTATGCTAAAATCAAACATTATTTTATTATAGCAATTTGACTTCTACTAACTACTAAATAATAAGTATACATAATACATTTGAATTTAGATTATAAAAAGAAAAATTAGATAGAACCAAACACAATTTTTGTATACAATGATAATACAGTGAAACCAGCATTTAACGATCTGTCGCCAACCACGGTACTATTAAAAGTGTCCATTATAGACATAATGCAGTATTTTTTTAATCAAATTCACATATGTATATATTTAATGGAAACCTTGTATTTTTATGCAAATCCCAATGTAAATATTAATACTTCTTCCATATAGGAAAACATATGCATAATTATAAATATATGGGATTAATGTTAGCAATAAAATGTTTATAACAGAATCAATATGTAAAATTCTGTTTCAATAATTTAAGACAACACCTATAACCATTGATGAGTATAATTTATAAAGATCATTATTCATACCTAAGAAGTCAAATTCTTCTTTACGAGCCATTCCATTATGAGAACCACATGTTCTACAAATTAATGCATATCGATTTTGAGGTCCATCACCAAGAACTTTATCAGCTAAACGATCAAATATTGTACGATCCCTTGAGAGTACTGGCCTTGGAAGAGCTAACCCTGAGTAAAATGGTTTTAATTTAATAATATAAAAAATATGTGACAGTACAACTAAATAATGCTCACTTGGCTTAAGTGCTGATGACATTATTGATGGTGGATGACCCATATCCGATGCCCTAACCAATGGTCTACCAGAAGAACCATAGGTTGGCCTATTGCTTGTAGACGGAAGTGCTCTTTGATTAATCTAAATCAAAAATACTATCTAACATAATGAATAAGAATAAAATGAAATTTAGATTTACTTACAAAGTTTTGAGAGGTCATGGATTGAAGTTGATGAGGAGCATATTTTTCTAAAATTTCTTTCGCTACTTTAAATGTTTCTTTTTCCATTACCTCATCAAGTAGTTTTTTCTTTACAGATTTTAATTCTATTAATTTTTTTTTATATGTTACTATTTTTCGATTATAATACCAAACATCAAATTTATAATAGTAAAGAGCTCTGAAACAATAACTGATATTAGAACCTAACATATATTTAAATTCTTTAAATTAAAGCTTACATGATTGGATATGCTGCAAAAACAGCCATGATATAGTTATTTTTGAACAGTTCATAAGGAATTATACCAAAATAAAAAAGTATATAAATAAATCCATACATGAGAGCTGAATGGAACACTATTTTATAATAATTTATCGGTGAAGTATTTGAAGTCATGTTTTCGATATACATAATTTCCTAAAACAATATTTTAACAGTATAATTATTTAATAAACAGACTAATGCATATTTTTAGTATTAAATTGCACTTAAACATACATCTTCTAATGATTCCAAAACTGCTTTTGTATCTTTTTTTTTCTATAAAAAAAAAATCATTTATCAAACATTAATATAATGCTATAAACCTTAAAATAAGAATAATATTTAAATTTCATATTTGTTTTTGTTATTCAAAAATATTTTAAACTTCTGTATTTTTTTTTTTTTTTAATAAGTACAGTAATACAGGTAGGAAATACAATAAATCATATTCAAAACAATTTAAATAATTCATATTTAATCATTTATTTTTATTCATAAACAAGAGGTATAAATCATTTTTAAAAATAATTAATAGGTACCAAGTCAATGGAATTATATGATGTTTTTGATTTTCATATTCATAATCAATTTATCATTGAAATGGTAACACATAATCATAATTAATTAATTGATTTACTAGACCAAAGTATATTTTTTAACTAGAATTTATGTGTTGCCAATGGGAAAAAATCGTAGAAACAACTAACATGTATCAACAGAATTTAATTGAAGAAAAAAAACACCTGTGGCCAAAAATTAAATATTTAACTTTGTATTAATGTATTAATTATACTTTGCCGTGCACATAAGAAATTATTAGTTATTATTATTATTATTATTATTATTTTTGCAATGCCTACATATGTATTACTATTAAGTTGGTCTATAACAGTAACATTGTAAATGTGTTTTATAATATTATTGCAGTTAAATATTTTCGAGACTTACTTTAAATCGCGCGAGTATGCTACCCATCATTGGCGCTCAAGTATTACACCAAAAACACCTTCTTGACATTGAACGTAAGACTTTTATTAGTTTTTTAAGGCCTGCGAGAACTGAGCTCATCCAGGCACTACGTCAGTCTGTTGCTATAAATATAGTCATATCGCAACCGCCAACCGTAATATGTCTTAGAAATTGACCAAAAAGCCAGACGACCAACAGCAGCAAAGCGCGATGAATAAATGGTCTGTGGACAACGAAAAAACTTAAGAGTAGGTAGTAATGAATATTGAATAATGAATAATGACGTTTATACCCGTATACGTTTATAGTCGATTTGGAACCAAAAAGCAAAATATGAAACCGTAAAATGATAAGGGCAACATATAACCACAGATTAAGTATTACGTCACGAATCACGATTAAAGATAGTGTGGACGGTATAGTATGGTTGCCCAACGAATATTGAAGAAAAGTGTCTACCGAAATGAATCTCCACAATCAGTATTTAACAGCTGGAGACTTCCGCACTAGCGCTTATTTTTTGTAGTGAATATAAATGCAGTCACGTACTGACGTCTCACGACAAATTAAATGGGTATGTCCTTATGTCAGCAACTTGTATAATATTTATAGTTCATACTATGAACTCTTGAAACGCATCGCAGTCTGTGATGCATTAATTATTTAGTGGAACTGTGAAGAGGGGCTGGGAAAATGCACCTTATTACTAGCAGAGTTAACGCATAAGAAAAATGTATTACTATAGTGAAATTAATACCCAAGGGGCAAGGGTTAGGACAAAGGTTAACTGTATAACTTATAAGCAGTAATATAAATATCACTTCGGTAATTCACCGCAGGTGATTATTTACAGTAAATTTTCAGTAGGAATATTTAACCCTTAACCCCGTCGGGGATATTTACCACCAGTAAAATTTCGATAGTGAATATTTACCCCTCCCCCCTGTAAAAATGCACTAATTCATAAATAAAAATCTTCAATTTTAATTTTTTTTTTTTCATTCTAAAAATGTCCTATAAGTACATAAGGATTAAGGACATAAGGTTGAGTAAGGTTCCTAGTAAGTTGTTATTATAGCAATTAAAAAAACATTTAAGAAAAATTGCCACAACTTTAGACTCAGTTTATTTTATTATTTTAAAGTTTTAAACAGTATTTTTCATCATAGTAAATAATTTAAGAATATTATAAAATCGTTATTTTTGTATGGCCCACGAACTCTTTTTTATTTGTGAATGTGTCCCGGGAAAAAGGTTGCCGACCAGTGATCTAACCTAGCCTCACTAACGGCATTGACCGATATTATTATTTAGATTTAAATTAATTCGATAACGGTAGCGCCACCTATCTACTGCCGCTAAATTATTTTTAACTCTGACGCATAACGCAACCGTAAAGAACGGTTCACAAAATCACAATTCACAACTACTCAATTTCCTAGTATAAAGCTGCCATATACGATTTACTATGATGATTGATGAGGGGAAAAGCGTAAAGCTCAGATTCCCCAAAAATGTTTGGGCTAGTTGTGCCACTAAATAGGAAAAAATATGGTCGGCCTAACATTTTTTGACTTACCAATTAAGGGTCCTGCTAGTGTGTCTTTAATAAGGAGCAATATTTAGGAAATAAATGCCGCGTATGGCATTTGTGTTAGTCGTCAAAAGTGGTAGTCTCACTTTGTTTTACACTGTGTTAAACCAATTTTAGTACTTTTGGTAACCTCCCCTCCCCGCAACCAAATTAAGCCCCGGAACCAACACTGGTCATCAATGATGATTAGTGTGACTGTGTGAGTATGCGGGTACCAGCCACCGGGCTATCACACACGAGCGACGCGCTGGCGCGCTCCATGCCGGCACTGAGGCACGTTGTTTCAACGGTACGGTCGGTACCGTCGACCAAAAATTAAAATCGTGATTTCAAAACACGCTTTACAGAAAACTGAAAAGATGTCACTCATCGTAGAGTGCAGTGAAGTGGCGTATTTAGGAATTTGTCATGGGGAGGGTCCAGATAATTTTCAGAACACAGAGCCACGGGTGACGAAGCCCCCCACATCACCCATTTACTCTTTATTAAATAAAATATACCATATTTATAAGACGATATAAAATGTTTGAGTTTTTAATTACTAAATAATAATATGTACAAAACAAATTTTAAAAAAAGCGTTTAAGTGGATGCCACTCTGCTGCTGTACAGTAGGTTACAAGTGGGTCAATGTATAATGGATTGTATTAAACTTGAACTCAATGATATAATATCATAATATTATTGTATAAGAAATAAACGATTCTGAGCGAAGACGGTTTGTCAGTCTGGATATTTTATATTGTTATTATTTATTATAGCCTGTAAGTTGAATTAATAATGAAATATTTTTTTTTATTCTTTTCTATGGTGATAGACAAAGTGTTAGAAATTAAAATCCCATTTTTAGCGGTTTTTCGTAATTTTTTGGTGGTTTTTACAGTGGCATTAAATAACTATTGAGAAAATCGAAAAATGACCTCTCTAAAGTACTATCTTGATCCAATTTTCTAAAAAATAAGTTTCTATATGTCTATACATGTTGAAATCGAAGCACTATTTCTGGAAGAAATTTTGTATACAGGAAAAATAAATAAACACCATTGTAAAACCAATAGATCCCTCAGAATCGAATATATAGTTATGTTATAACTAGGGTTCGGATTTGAAGGCAATATAATCAATAAAAAAAGCATTTAAAATGTAAAAAAAGGCAAAAAAAAGGCATTTAATTTATATAAAAAGGCAATTCATAAATATACTACAAAATAAAATAGTGAACATTTTTTAAACACTTTTAAATGAACACATTTTGAGAAAAATACAAATTAAAAATGAGCATGAATACTAAACTACATTAAGTTTATGGTATTTTGTATAAATAGATTAGGTACCTTTTTCTTTAACCAGGTTTGTCCTAAGAATTAGTTAAAAACAATTTTAAATATTAACTTACTTGAGTTATACCAGTTAATTTAATGCAAAATAAACAAAAGGTAAAAAAAAGGCAAAAAAGCATTTATAAGTAAAAAGGCAAAAAAAGGCAAAAAAAGGCAAAAAAAAAGATCCATTCTCTAAGAAATTAAATGAAACACATTTTTGTATAAAAATTATTTTTCTATTATGATTAATAAAAGAAAGGCATTTGCCTTCAAATCCGAACCCTAGTTATAACTTTTATACAAATATTTCCTTAATTACATTAGGTACCTACTTCATTCATAGTTAATCTTAGATAGCTTTTCAATCTTAAAAAGGTTGAAAAAGATCTCTCTGGAGTGGTTGTAGATACTGGCAATGTACAAAACTACAAAATATTTGAATTAAAAAATGAACTTGGTATTTTTCAACCATTTTCGGTATCCAACTGATAAAAATAATCAAGATATTTATTGAAAATGTTGAAATAACTATAGCTTTGAAAATTTTTTTAAAATCCGTAAAATCGTATGATAAAATTTGTTTTTTAATCATGTAAAAACTGCACAACATTTAACATGTACGAGACACGAGTCAATGGGGGGGGTCCGGACCCCATGGACCCCCCCGTATATACGACACTGGTGCAGTGGCGTAATTACGGGGGGGATTTAGGTGTCGTATCCCCCCTATAATCTTTATTTTTATTTTTATTTTTAATAACTATTTTTTCAATTAACTAATTTCATTAATGTATATTTTATAGATAATAAATACAAAAATCACCCGAACCTCAAAATTCAAATATATTCAATATTTTTCATACTATACAAAATACTTTCTGTGGTAGAGATTTAATTAAAGTATAATGCTTTACTGTTTTGCTCCACAGAATCGATTAAATGGTCTGCTATGTTGGCTGTTCATAAAAATGTCAAAATCGACCCCGAAGGAGTGCTTAATGAATTAGCATTGAGACCACGTAGAGTGGATCTTTTATTGTGATTTTGATGTAACTGTATCTAGTACCTAGGACCTAGGTATCAATAAAGTTAATGTAGGTACCTAAATGTGAATATCTAAATATTATGTTATTATTTATTTTAATAATTAATGTATAGTGTAGGTATACAATATTACATAAAGATCATAATGGTTGTATACTTGTATTGAGAGGTGCTTATTGCTTATATGATAAAAAAAAAATGTTGGGGGGGGGGTACTTGATGAAATGTACATATATTTCATCCCCATTGATTGATTTTTTTCATTAGAAAGAGGATAATTTTCCATTGGACTTCGATTTTTAATTTCGTCGCTTAAAACAAACATAATAAAAATAACAAAAGTTTATAATAATTGGTCATATTCAAAATTGTATTAGATGGTTTAGAAATAGAATTTTGAAAATCCGAGTCAAATAAAGTCATTCATATCTGCCTAAATAAAATAAATAAAATTGAATCTACAAACAAAAACTACATAAAACTTAGTGTTCTATATACCTGTACCATAGGCGTGTCCAGACCTTGTTCGCAGGTCATGCACAGTAGTGGCATATTCAGGGGAAGTAGGTTTCTGCACCCTCCACCCCTAAAAAAAATTTCAATAATTGTAATAGATATTAAAAGTCCACATGATGAAAATCAAAAAATTTAATTTTGAAATCAGAATCTAAGAAAAAAGTGTATATTATTATGTACCGCAATTTATAATGTAAGTTAGATCAAATTTCGCAGGTTATGCCTGTGCATGACAGGTAAGACCCGTAGACACGCCTATGACCTGTACCTATGTCAATTTAACAAGAAATTTACTATTTCTTTTATTTTAAAAAAACTTTCATCATCTGGCCATGGGCCCCGGGCCTCAATAGTTAATATTTATTTAGGCGCCTCAGATTGGTCCATTACTTTTTTCGTTATAAGCTAAACACTGCATAAATCACCTAAAATAATGATTGGTATTTAACGAGGAAAAAAGCTTGTAAATTTTAATTTATAAGTAGGTAAAGTGAATTTTAAGTGATACATTATTCATTATTTATTGGCTATTGCCTATTGCTATGTGGGTAGGTACCTACCTAATACATATATATATGTATTTATTTTAACAGGTACCTAACACAGACTATATGACTATTTTCATATAGTCTGTGTACCTAATATAAAATAATATATACATTATTATTTTATTTTTCGTACAGTGGCCTAATTTAAACTTTGGCCCCTGGGTCTCAAAATGTGAACACCAGCCGTATTGATTACAGGAGGTTGATAAACCATATAATTATTATTGTTAAATTGATAAAATGTATTAATTTCTATAATACAATAGTATTCATATTAAAAAAATGCGGTCTGTAAGAAGTGTTTCTCTTTCAGAAAAAAAAAATTATCAAAATCGGATCACTCTACGAGGCGTGAGAGTTTTTCCTGAAGGCATGTTTTTGAGCATAAAAACAGGTAAACCTGCTGCAGCAGGCCCCACGTAGCATCTACCACGAATCACGATTTAAGATAATTTAATAGTTATCTAGTCCGTCAGTCCGTGACACAGGTAGAGCTGTTTTGGCGACCCAGTTGTTTGACGGTCTCCTTATCAGAATTCGTAACCACTAACCAGTAGATAATATTAAACATCGTGTCCGTGGCCCCAGCAGCTGCTGCTTCATGCTTGGTAGGTAGTTGGTATTCCTCTCGAACAGCTATAATTCGCGGGCTGCGAATTATATTCTTAATTCTTATCTGTTTTCTATGGCATGGGCATTCGGGCTGCGGCGGTTCCCTGTCTTCAGTCGTTACTCGTTAATCTCAATCGGAATTTCCGAGTGAAATTCATCTATTCGTATTGAATTATCTGAAATTTTATCAGACGATTCCAACATTTCCATATACGTATAATATATTATTATATAAGTTGTGTGCGTGTTGGTTTGAATATCGGCTTCACGAACGACGTAATGAACGAATAAAATACGGTCTGTTATTGATCACTTACATATCCTACTCGAATTTTGATATACTGTCGTGCAACAGTTGTTACTGTCAGTAAATCGTCGTCCAGTCCGGTGATCCGCAAGGCATGATCTCCTCGAACTGCTTCGCGTAGACGAGATAAGGTCGACTACCATGATCTGTTGGTTCTTGATGTTTTTTGCGTTATGCGTGACGACTTTCGGCTTGTGGTTGACCACCATCATCGTTTCCGTACCCTTGGCGTTTTTCTTGAGGTAACCCCGAATATGAGGCCATCAGTTTAGTATTTTAATTGATTTTTGTTTAGTGTGATATGTTTTGCTTACATTGCCGTCGAAGAAAAATCTGCTCTGTTCTTGGAATCGTTGAAAAAAGACTCAGAGTACACAGTCTACAGTCTGTTTGATCCCAAAACTGTAATTTTGTACATAGTAAGTTGCTCGTTTTCGATTTTCTAATGGAATTTTTATCATGTATTTAAGATATCCACTAAAGAAATAATTGAAGATTATGTGAACTTGAGTGGTTCCGAGTATATAGATCACCAGCTGTCGGACATTATGGACTACATTCTAAGGGACTATGTGTATCCATGGTAAAATTTGCTATTTAATCATTAGGTTGAAGTATTGTTTTTGGATTTTATTACATAAATCTGCTCAGACTTTAAGTAGTCTTTAATATTATAATTTATTTAAGGTATGACAAATTGAGCGACGATGAAGATTTTCCTATTCAAATACATAAATCAACTAGTTATTTGATCAGTTGCATGGCCAAACGATTACAACAGGTAGATTTTCTGCAATTCGTATGCACAAACTTGTCGGAAGAAGTGGCCAAACATATTCGTATTTATAGAAAATCTTTGAAAGCCACAACCTCAAAAAATTCTGAAGAAGTTGATTTTGAAACTATATTTTTCCAACATGAACAAGATGTTGATCGATTAGGTACATCACATGCAAATGTCTGCTTGGATGAGAATTATGAAAAAAGTAATACTATAAACTATAGAGAGAAACATACAATCATAAAAATGTCTTATTTAACATTATTTAATTTACTATATTATTATTACAGAATGGCTTAGGGATATATCAGAAGCACTAATATACCACGTTACTCCTGAAAATGATTTCAAATGTCGAACTATACGCATATTGATACGTGAAATAATATCAAATAAACTATTTTTAACAACTATAAACATGCTTAGTAATCCAGATTATGTTAACCAATTAATTATATGGCTGGTAAATAACCGATAAGTAACTTCTATTTATTTTTATTAATGATTTAATGTTGTATATTTTTGTTATACTATTAGTGCAGCGACTATCCAGTAACTAATGAGACATTTCTTACAGTATTGAGATCAACTAAATCAAATCAACAATTAAATGCTGTACACAGTTTAGTCAAAAAAGAAATTATGAATCTGGTAGTTATACTATAATAATAGTGTTATTATTACCTAATTATTAAATATTCCAAATACTTTAGCGGTCAAGAGATTCTGGTGAATCAGATAGCAGAGCAAAACAACAACTGAGCAGTCTTTTATTTTTATCCAATTTAATTAAGTCAATTGTTAATAGTATTCCTCAACAATCAGACAGATCTTTAGGTAAAATGTTTGCTTATAATGTTATAAATTATAATATATTTGTATACATCTATGTTAATATGACCACCTACCATTAATTGACTTAATTTTTTTTTTTAGATTTTCTGTTGTCATTTGAACATTCCATGTCCTCTCCGAAGAATGATTCATTATCTTTAAAGTGGATTCTTGAAAGTAAAACTGCTCTACCATACTTCATTGATTATTTGACTACAATAAATTGTGATAGTTTTATATCATTTTATATTAATATTGATGGTAAGTTTTTAGTATATATTGTGTTATGTTATTGATTTGGAGTAAAATGTTAAACAATATTAGGTTGGAAACAATTTGTACATGAACAGATGCAAAATGTTAGTGGAGATCCTAGTCAATATTCATCATCTGATCTAGCAACAGTAGATCATATTAGAGACGAAGCAAAAAAACTGTACTCCTTGTACATTGGTCAAAAAGTAAAGATTAGATTAATTGTAATTTTATAACTTTAGCAATAGTAAAAATATCTTTATGCATTCATTAATTAGCCCGATATTCATAATGAACTTGGAGATGATCTAGTAAAATCTTTAGCAAAGAAAATTCAAGTTGATCCAGTAGATGAGACATGGTTTGATGAGGTTCAAAATGCATTGTACAAGACACTATTAAAGGTATTTGCGTATTTGCGTATAAAAGATTAATATATTAAGTTATATAATCAAATTTACATCTCACATTTTAACTTAAATACATATTTTAAATAATAATATCATTAGTAATGGTGGATATTTATTTTTTAAACAATCGAATATAATAATGTACATCCATGTGAAACTAATTAAATTACTTTTAATATTTTTAATTAGCCTGAAAAAGGAATTATATCTGGTTTCGGTAAGCATGAAAGTTGTTCAAGGTTGATAACTGATTTGGAAATGAAATCATTAGGTTCAGAAGACATTTTTGAACCAGAATTAGCTATGCCTGCTTCTGATTTTTTAATACCAATGGATGCTGTACAGCAACTTTTTAAAGGAACTGGTGGTAAGTAAAGTTATGTTTTGTTTTCTTCTTTAGTATTATTTATGTTATTTGTTTTTCAGATAAAGTAAGTGATTTCCTCTCAGGTAGTAAAGCCTTGAGTCCTGGTCAATCAGAAGATGACAAGTCAATATTGTCAGCTGACATAATTGAAACTGGTTAGTATTAAAATAATAACTTTACACATTTTAAAGTTTAAGTTATGATAACCACATTATTTTTTTAGGACTTGTGCATGAGGGTGGTAAGACATTTGGTGTTTATGCAGTTTCCATTACTAGAGTTTATATGTCTGGAAAAGAAGAAAACTGGCATGTTTATAAACGATATTCTGATTTTTATGATCTCTACCAAAGAGTAAAAGATAAGGTAAGGTTGTAAACAAATTATTATTATAAATTCATAATAATATAAATTATTTTTATAGTATTCAGAACTAGGTAAACTATCATTTCCAGCCAAAAAAACATTTCATAATGCGGACAGACGGGTTTTAGAAAAGCGTATGATGATGCTCAATCAGTTTATACATAATTTATTGAAATCGTCAACTGTTGCTAATTATCCTGGAATACAAACAATGGTTGAACAATTCCTCGAACAAAGACCTGAAGACAAGAAAGCACTGTTATCTGGTCATCTTGTCAAGACTGTCGATAATCTCTTGTTCAACCCATTGAAGGTTGTTGGAAACGTTGTAAAAACTGTACCTGATAATATATTTAATACTGTTGATGGCGTTATGGACAATATCAGCAAAGTACTTGGTCCATCCAAACCTGTTAATAGAATGTTGGTTGAGGAAGTAAGTAAATAAAAAGAAGGCAAGTGAGTACTATTCTGCTGTACAGTAGGTGTCAAGTGGGGTCACTGTAATGGATGTGTTAAATTTGAATGCAATGATAAATCATTATTCATAGTATACAAAAAAACAATACTAAGCAGTGACGGTCTTTTAGCCTATAACCTAAATATACTTCATGGTATGTTATTAGATTCTGAGCGAAGTAAGACATCAATAGATTCAAGATGAATGCATTGATTTTAAAGTGTGACAAGTACTCCTGTTTAAGTACTGAACATTTTCAATTGTTCAAGTACAAAAAAATAAAAACAGATAGATCATTGTAAATTCATTTCTCAGAATCTAAAAACATTAATACATTTTATGTTTCAATTTGTTTACTTTAAATTTGTCGGTAGGATGATGACAATATGCCCATGCGTGCAGTGTTGCTATTATTAACAGAAGTGTTTGAAGTAGATGAGCAACAACAATGGCTTCGGAAACGATTTGTCATGTTGTTACAACATATTATTAGGGCTTCATTTGGTCATGTAGTTAACAGGAGGTTCAAAGAGTATGTGGCGACTGTCACTGATCCTTACAGGGTGTCATTGTTGATTGCTGCGATCAAGTATTGTTGAAAAAATAACTAATTATATCTTTATGCAAAAATACTTTTTTAATGACGATACCAATATCCACTATAGAAATTCATTGTGGCCAGATGGTGTACGTGCTACAGAAGTACAATTTCGAGACGCAGAAGTACAGCTTAGAACACTTGTGGCTGCTAAATGTGCACTTATGTCTTCTGTGTCTGGTAAATCAGTACCAAACACTATATTGATTAAATGTATTAATATTTTTTACACATCTATTTAGATGAATTGAAGCATTTAATGGGCAGCGACGTCACAAGGCGTGGAATTTATTTAGCCGTCATAATGCTCCAGCACAAAACCCTTAACAAACGTTTGGCTTATGTTTTGGCTAGTTCATGTTTTTTGTTAATTTTTCCAAATTTTAGTGGCCTTATTGATAAATTACACAAAAACCCTCCTATATTAAGCCGAAATTAGTTACAAATTAGCTTAAAATTATTGTTATTATATTTGTGTACATTTAAATTTACTATGTAGTATGTATATGTACTTTTTTGCATGTAATTGTCAACTAGACAAAAACCAGCTAATGTGCAATAACATCTTTAAATGGGATAAAGTGTATAAATATACACACAGGATGGCTGTGATCTATTTATTATTTTTAATTTACTTCAGTCATAACAACTTTGTGATAGGGAAAAAAAATTGTCAAACAGTTTTTACATAATATATTTCAAATCTAGTACATTTGTTTTTTTTTATTAATGATATTTTTCTAGACAATAATAACAATTTTTTTATTTTTTAGTATTAACTATTCATTATTAATAAAATAATAATTACACATAACATAGTTACCCAATAATACATCATAATTATTATACTAAAATACAAAAGCCGTAAGTGGAAGGTGACAGATGAAATCTTGTTCTATCCTTGACAAGTTTAAGTGACTTTGTAAAATGATATGTTACAACAAAATGTGTAAATAAAAATATTATTTATATAATACAAAGGCACATCAGTTCCACAATTTGTAGTTATAGATAAGTATAATACATAATTATCACTAAATAAATAATAAATTAATTAGAAGTTTAATTAATAAAGGAAATAAAAAATTATTCATGGAGTTAAAATAGTTTTTTTTTAAGCTCATTATATCCAATAATTTTTGCTTTGTTAAAATCATGATAAAAAAGAACAACGCTATTCAGTCTAAAATTGCCTAAAAAATGATAAGCATTTAGGTAAAAATAAAAAAAACCTTAAAATAAAAACAACAAAACAAAAAAAATGTCTTTATAGGGAATATTTTAATGAACATTATTTACAAGTAGTATTACCTGTAATATCAATTATTTACAATAAAAATTAAAAATATATAATACCTTTATAGTATAATATTTGATATATTATCATATTATAGTTATATTTAATAAAAAATGAAATAAACGAGTTACGGGTGAATTGAACACAGTTTGGCAATCCGTTAACATGGAATCAATATTATACAAGGTGACCAGAAGGGCAGTGACAAACAGTCAAATTAATTGGGCGAGGGTTGTTGGTCACCAGAAAATGTGTAATGTTTCAATCTGGACTTAATTTCTAGGTCACGCAATGCTTGTTTTGCGCGCGCTCGCACTTCTTCGCTGCAAGTGCTATTAAACTTTTTTAGTCCCCTACGGTTCATTGTACCCAGTGAAAACATGGGTTGCACATTGTCGGAAGGTTCGGGCGTTTCTTCCAGTACAGTTGTCTGCATTGACTGTAGAGTCGAATCGACTGTAAGATAAAATATTATTTTATTTTATCATTGAAAACTCAAGATCAGAAAAGCATTGGGTAATACATTTACGAGACACTGGTGCAGAATATTATGGTTTAAGCAGTTTAGCGCCCAAACCCTTTGGAAGTTAATAGTTATGGTCAAAAAACTTCAAAACTTCGAAATCGATATTTTAAAGTTTAAAATACAAAAAACCCCGATTGGGATACGTGGGAATATGTTGATAAATAATGATTAAAAATTATTAGATATATTTATAGTGATTACAAACTACAGTGACGCAGTGTTATAAATAACATAAGTACCTACTACCTACCATTATATAAAGTTATAAAATTTACTTTTTTTTGGTGTATAGTCATGGAATAATGCGCGATGGGTAAATTATGCTAAATAGTTCAAAAGGTTATATAGGACCCACAAATTCAGATCGCACCATTGTTCTGAACTGGTTGAAATACATATAGGTTTTCGTGATATATTATCACAAATCACGAGAGGAGCTAAACTGCATTACCTATGTAGATTCGTGGAATAATCTGCCTATGCGTAAAATCGTTAACTTCGAAACGTCATACATGGTCCGCAGGGGTGATTTTACGAGGGGGGGGGGAGTCTGACTCCCCTCCCCCGAATGTCGGCAACTGAAGTACTAGTCAGCAATTTTCAGAAATCGAAAAATGTAATATATTATACTATTATGAGATAATTGAAACTTTCATATTATTAACAAGTAAAACTTGTACACATTAAGTATTGTCATAATAATAATTGTAATAATGTATCTTTAATTATTTTCGGCAGTCGGATAATCAAAGATTAGGTAGTAGGTACCCAGGCCGCCTATATTATTGTGTTTGTGTAATAAAATTGTTTTCGCTAATATTAGTGTATAAAAATAAGAATGGAAAATACCGATTTCCCAGTGTTATAAATCTTTACCAAAGCTTTAAATCCAACTTTTTATAGATTCTGAGAGGAGCGATGAATGTATTAATTTTACAATCTGTTTTTTATGTGTGTGATAGTCATCACCTTTTAGGACAGTAAAAATGTCTCCAATCTATTCTGGTAAGAAAGTGAATCTAGTTGGTACTAGCGCTGTGAAAAACATAAGAAAAATTAGGGAAAATCGGGAATTTTTACGCAAAATCGGTTTTCGACAAAATCGATTTTGGTTTTTGGTGTAACTCCAAAACAAATTAACGTAAATGCTAAATACATGACATTTTACCTAGTTGTTTAATGTTTTAAATATATTAGCATTTTTAACACATTGGGTTCAGTTTTGGTTTGTTTTGAACTGTTCACGGACATTTTCAGTTTGTTTTTTTCTATGAATGTCAATAAAATGTTATTTGTTGTGTAAAAAAGCTTGAAAATTTAATACAAGGATCCTAATATATTGTTTCAAAGACGCATTTTTTTTTATAAGCATGTTACGTTCAAATATTGACAAAATACGTAAAATTCACAAAAATTAACAAATTATTTTGTGTTAGAAATTCATAAAAATTTTTCTTTTTAAATCTAAGATTTAAAAATGCTATACAAGATCTCTCATATTTGTCTACCTTAATCAAAAAAAAAAAATGTCTACAAGCAAAGTCAGAACCAAAACACTGTAGATATATTATAATTTCACTGAATGTTTATTTTATCAATGCCTATACTTGATAAAATTTTCAAAATATTTTGATTCGTTTTGAGCTATTTACAAAGAATGTAAAATTTCCATTTTTTGAGTTTTTTTGTCTATAAATATCAATTAAGTTTTATTTGTTGGGCCAAAAATCGTGAACATTTAATACAAGGCTTTTGACATATTGTTACAATAGCAGTTGAAAAATATTAAAAATACATAAGCACAATTTTTTTTTATAAGCATTTAAGTTCGAATTTTGAAAAAATGTATTAAATTTAAAATGTAATAATTATTTTGTAGTTCAAAATTTATAAAATGTTTTTTACATATCCTGCACCTTTTTTTAAATTACAAATTTACAACATTCAGTTTTAATTTCATCTTTGAAAGCAGAATATTTAGATAGAGTATTTCGATACATAAAGTCGAATTTAGGAGTTAGGTTAGGTTAGGTTAGTTGCCTAGTTACTAACCTAACCTAATCTTATTAATTAGAAATGTATGTTGTTTTAGCTTAGGTTAGTAACCTTGGTTTCTAACATAACCTATTTTAACCATGTTCTTAAATTTGCTGTACATTTATTAAAAAAGTATGCATCTATGTTCTTAAAATATCATTATATGTATTTAAAATAAAAACCGTAAAATATGATAAATAAAAAAAGTATTTTTTGATTCAGTAGAATATGAATCAAATTTGTTTCTAAGTCAGCATTAAAATGAATAAATAGAAAAAAATATACGAAATTTAATAACTATTTGATACCTAATTATTACAATAGGAAATGTAATTATTGTTATTAAGTACACAGTCGGCGGATTCACTATAACCCCCCCCCTACAAATAAACTCTAGCACGCCCCTGATTGTCTATCCAACAAATTATGATCGCACCATTGTTCTTAACTCGTTGAAAGACACGGGTTTCCGATAAAAAATTCGTAAAAATCGCTTCGGAAAACTGCGTTTATGGCCCGGATATTGTTATAAACTACTACGTTAAGAATACGGAATGAGAGAGAAAATCAAAAATGCCCGCATTGTCTATGTTAAAGTGTCATACTCCCGCGGGTAATACATAAAAAACGACGAGTATAGATGTAGTGAAATTGCATATACAACGCGCCTGGCAATATAAAATGTTGGGACAATAACTTACGTTGAACAGCCGTCTCCACGTGGTTTGATTTCTGTGGGCTATTGTGCGCTCGACTGATGTGCTTATTTCTAGTACTCGTAGTTTCGAACCTAAGAACATGGTCGTCAATTAAATATATGATGCCGCGTTTAACGTGTGTTAAACTCGTCTAGTGCTTACCCAATGTCACAAATTGGACACTTGTAAATGTTACAGTCGGCGCGGACCACAGGTGTCAGCCGTTTGGCAGCCACCGACAATGCCGCCAAACGCGCATTCAGTTGGAGAGCGTGAGCCGTATTTGATCTTCTAGATTGAGCTCTGGCACTAGACCCATTGTTGTTACGTCCAATTACTTTGCGTAAATCTTTAGCAAGAGCAGAGTTGGCAACACTACTTGATACAGTTGTGCCCTTTTCATTGTTGCGTAGAGCACATAGTTTTCCCAACAAAGTTATCGCACCACCACTCCAGGTTTTGCCAGCACAACTGAAATTAATTATTTATAAATTTTATGTTTGGTAATTAGCATAATTTTATGATTTCACAAAATATGTTAATAGTATTACGGTTTTTGTGTAGAAGAAATGAGATTTTTCAAGGCTTGGTCCAATATTTCACCCAACTTGCTAACCATTTTATTTTTCAACTCCTTTCCGTTTTCACTAATTTAAGCAGATTTTTTTAAAATTAATTGCTTTATTCTTTACAAGCTACTAGCTAGTAACAAATATATACATACCTAGTTGGAGCATCATCAAATTCATGGTCTTTTGCCATGTGCTCGTCGAGTTCTTCTTCTCCTCCGTCCATTATGAGCTTGCAAACCCAACACACAAGTAGTATATCAGATTTATTTACATTAACTAAAAATAAAAATAATTGTAAAAAATATTATC